GGGGGGGGGGGGGGGGGGGGACAACCAAGGAAGAGGACAGAAAAGTGGGGCGCGGAGACAAGAGTCCAGCCTACATTCGCCCCCGCCCTGTGGGTCCACCGGAGCCCGCCCGCAGCTCACGCTACCCCGACCCTTCTCTAGTGCCTAGCACAAAATAGCCCCCAGAGGCCGGCTGAGCCAGCACCAGCCTCGCGCGCCCGCCACTGGGACGGAGGGTCCAGGCTGCGCCCGTTTCCCCAACCTGTCGATTCCACCCTCTGCCGAACCGCTCCAGAGCGGACCGGCTCCCAGCGCCAAGACCTGACCTTAGGCCCCCTTTCGGCCTACCTTACCTTGCTGACCCCGCCAGTGCCCGCCGCGGGCCCAGAAGCCTGCCCGCAGGATGGAAACGGGGCGGAACACTGGGGCGCGCTCCCGAGCAGCCAGGCCAGCCCCGGGGCGCGCTCACCGACCGGAGGAGCACGCCCGCGCCGCCGCTCATTCCGACCCTGTCTCCCTTTACGGCAGTCGCAAAAGTGTTGTGAAATTGCTGCCGCCGATTAGAGTCACTCAGTCGTCTGGAGTCGGAGGTGATACTTATACTTCTGGGGGTGTTCTTGCTGAGGTCCGGGTAAGGCTGCGGGGCTCGGTTTTGGGAAGACGGCCAAGATGTGGTGAGGGCAATTCTCACAGGAGGAGTGGCGCTAGGGCCGGATGCTCTGGGACCGGGCATTAGGATATAGCTGTGTATGGGCTCAGGCGAGGCGAAGGCAGTTCTCATTCGTCGCGCAGGGTGGTCTCGCGCGCGGAGTTGTGGGGAGGGCGAGGAGCAGCTGCCCCTCTGGCCCCGTGTGGCCAGATTGAGCTGGCGAAGCGCCGGCACGGGAGCCCGGAGACTGTTACGTGGAAGCCGAAGGTCGGGGTGGGAAGAACCGCGGCAGGCCAACACTGGGCGGGCCGAGGGCTGGGGGCGCTGCCTGCGTGGAACCGACCTTGCCTATCAGGTCCACACCCTCCTGCCCGGGTGCTGCCGAGTCCACAAACCCTGTGGCATCTTGTGCCGGCTTTGCCTTCCTTTTGGAATGGGGTGCTGGTGTTTCGTGCGTAGGCCTCGCTTCTCGGTCAGCAACTTTTCCAGAAATTTCAGCCTATGTTGACAAGCTCTGAGATAACTAGCTGGGGTCCATTTCAGTAGTATTCTTGGAAGGAGAAAGGACAGGAGGGTTGGTAGTGTTTGCCGGTGTTCCCAGGAACACTGTGGATGAGTGGGATCTTTACATTCAGCCGTGTTTAACTTGTTTTCTCCATTTTGGTGCTTGGCATTTTTGTGTCATTTTTGGCATTTTGTATCACTGGTATAAAGTATATATAATTTTGCATGAAATCTTTTAGTTCATCAGTGAATCCATATTACGATAGTAGGCAAATTCATTGTTGTCTTTCAACAAATATTAGTGCCTTATCTTGTATGTGAACGAAGAATAAAGATTCAGTTCCAGCTTTCGAACTAGTAGGAAAGTGTTCAACACGTGTGTATTAAATTGACTGACATACAGCACAAGTTAAACTGTGGTAAGGGCATTTAGCACATTACTAATTTAGGACCATTGGCGTTCACATAGAATTCCAGAGATTGAAGTTCTAAAAGCATTTTGCTGCATTTTCTTTCTGTGCCGAGAAAAACTAATTAAAGCCCCTAGTACAACTTGTCTTTACAGCCCTTCCATTTAAGAAATAAACTAGATAAATCTGCCTCTCATATTACCACCAATTACATTTTATTGTAGAGTAAATTTCTTGTTTTCTAGGCTACAGATTTGTTCTTTTATGCTGGCTAAAGGTGCTAGTGATGTTCTTTTTGAGGGTCATGCTGCGCTATCCTTTTTAAGGGAATAGAAAAATAATTTATAAAATTCCAGGCGTTTTCTTTTCATTTTTTTTTTTTAGGAAAAAGTTATTTCCTTTTTTAAGGAATGCAAGATTTCACTTCAGAACACTAGATCTAAGTTGTATTACACTCTACTGTTTTTGCTTCCAAGTGTGTTGATAAAGGCTTTTGTTTTTGTAAACTTGCTCTATATCACTTGTTAAATAATGCCGAACATATTCCTATGATCCTATTAGTTTTCTTTTTCTTTTTTCTTCCTTCCTTTTTTCCTTTCCCTTTCCCTTCCTTTTTCTTTCCTTTTCCTTTATAATTTGCCCTGCCTCCCTTAATAGTGTCAGCCATGAGTATTTTCCTTTAGCATGCCATAAAGGTGGGAAAGAGGTGTATAGTAACCAATTCCCCTGTGAAAGGACTGTAAACATACTGCTGAATCAGTGCAGATCAAAACTTGGCACCCTTAGATATGGGGAGGATGTAAATTCTGGAATTTCACAGAACAGGTTGGACACTGTGAGCTTATGCTCTGCTCAGCAGTTGGAGATTTTTTTTTTTTTTTATGTGATAGTTGTCAGATATTCCCCATGCTTAAATCCACATAGGAATAACATAAGCAGTATGCCATTATCCTCAGCTGCTATAAACACAGATGTTCTATATGATTGACTTTTTAAGGCCCACAAAATTGTATATAATTTTAGTAGAGGTATTTATTAAATATATTTTTGTACCTTTGTTGGACTTTTAACATAAATAATCATGCCTGCACAAAGAAAATTCTTTGTCAGATTATATATGTTCTTCTCTTTTGGACTCAGAAAACAGTTTGTTGACAGCCTGTTATAACTTAGCTGTTTACAAGACCCACTCCCCGCCCCCACTGTTGAGCTTCTTGAGGATATGGCGTATTTCAATATTTGTTTCCTCAGGATTTAGAACAATTAAGTGCTCATTAAGTACTAAACAAATCATATTTATTCATTGTTTAGTAAGTACTGATTATGTACTTAGTGCTGAGTATAGTATGAGATTGTGGGAAAAGAATGTTAACAAGATAGGCATGGCCTTTGCACTCATGGAACTTACAGAGTTGTGTGGGAGAAGGACCAAAAAAGTTTGGATAAGTGCTATGAAGGGAGCAGAGCACTAGAGCCAGGTTATAATAGAGGAGGACAGTTTACTGATTACAAGTGGAAAGATTATAATAGCTATAGGACTGTTACCAATATTATCCTAAACTAATTACAGGTGATGGGAATTTTATACAGTTTAAAATACTCACTTTTACTATTGTAACTTATGAAAACATGCTCAGTTAAAATAGTTCAAATAGGTTGCGTTCCGAAATTATAGGTTTCTTTATAAGTTCAATGGTTGCTTTCCATTACATCAGAATAAAATCTCAACTCTTTGCCATGGTCTATAAACCTCTGCATTGTATAATTCTTGAACTTTATTTTGTTACTGGTATACTCCTGTTGAGCCATGATGATCTCTCAGGTACCTGAGCCAAGAAAAGCTCTTTCCTGCCACAGCGCCTGTTCCATTTTCTTGGACTATTCTTCCTGCTCTTAGAAGGTCTAGCTTCTTCTTTTCCTCTGTTATAAAAGCTGTTTCTACAGACTTCAACCACCCTATGTAAAATGTGAACCCCCAACTGTTTTCTGGCTCAGCATTTTGTTTTCCTTGTAGCATTTATCACAGTGTGTAATGCTGTTTGCTTGTTTACCAGTTTTTATTTTCCCACTGGCCATAGGAGCTGGTACCATGTCTGTCTTGTTCACTGCATCCAGATACTGGCTGAATGCATTTGGAACTTGGGATCCACTTTCTCATAAAAGCCTGTTATGACTGGTGGCTAGGTTTCTAGGCTAACAGCAATAATTTTATTTATTTATTTATTTATTTATTTATTTATTTATTTATTTATTTATTTATTTTAAGAAAATATAAGAAAAGGAAATTTTCTGCTCACCTTTTTTTGGACATAGGCCTGACTCCATATGAAAGTCTCAAGTGGCTAAAATAACTTTTGTAATATGTGTTCCTCCTTTCCATATTTCCATCCAACATCTTTTTTTCTTTCTCTATATAGTCCTGATGTTCCTATTGTAGCCAGTCTACCCTAGTCTGTTCCCTTGAGTTATGCTTGTCTTTTGTTTGCTAAAATTGAGAAGCTTCTGTTTTTTTCTGAAATGGTTTTCATGGCAGTAGCCCCCACGTCTGAGATGTGGTGAAAGGAAGGAAGGATGATGATGGACTGTGGCAGTGACAGCAACCTCTGTGGCTGTTTGTATGTGTTGAAAGTAAAACAACCATCTGTATGTCAGAGGCTACATGTCTCTGAATTTATATTTGCAGTGTTGATGCTAATAGCTTCACAGAGACAATGTTGCTGAACTGAAATGTCGACAAAGAAAACCTTAAAAAACTCATTGCCTCTTTTCATGTATGAATTATATAATGGCTAGATCTAGAAAGAGTTGTCAAAATGTAGATTTTTCTAAAAGAGAAATGGAAGGTTTAAAGAAAACTAGGTCACGGGGGAAAAACTCAGGAGAGTATCAGTTTATCGACTAGTCCTGCCAAATGCACAAACTTAAAACCTTTAGGATCAGTTACTTGTAGCTGTTTAGTGCTAAAAGCAGGCTATCACCCTCAATATATCACCTTTTTTTTTTCTTAACAGTAGGAGAATGGAACACTGCAACAGCAAAATACAAATGGATTTCACTAAACTTTTTATTCCTGTTTAAAGTAAAATTCGATGAGAGCTGATTATAGCAAATATATCCTTCAAAATGACTATAGAAAATTTGGCTATTAGAAAGCTAAGTGTTCTGGTGATTATTGTTCTGTCATCTGATCTCAAGTGATCTCATCACCAGTTGTTTAACATTATATAAACATGGCTTTAAAACAGGTTTAATCAATAACTTTGTGGTATAGTTGTGTGGATAAATCTTTGAAATAGTAAGAAATTAGCTTTGATTTGCCATCTTGGTTTGAAGTATATTTTTATTTTGAAGCACCTCATTGGTTAAATTGTGGCACTAATTTGACTATAATGACTGTTTTGATATATATTGTTATATATGATTAACAGAAGTTTTGGATGCCACCTAGTGACACTGAAATTTTGGAATTTGGGAATATATTTATGGGAATATAGGGAAGAAGTTCTGGTCTGTATGTGACACCAACATTGTGTTCACATGTCTAGCCCAGCCGTGGCTGGGTGTCCCTCAGGTCTGTGAATCTGTGCCTGTATGTCCATGTGCTTACTCATGAGCTGTGTTCTTGTGTTTTCATATTCTGTGTCATGCAACCCTGTGCCCCACTTACCAAGTTGCCCCTGCAGCCTGGGTCCATAGCCCTATAGCATGATTTCAGTCCGGTGCTTTCCACCCTGGGTGGCAGGGGCATCCTATCCTGTCCTACCACAGCTGACTCTGGGCCTTGGCCTGGCCTCACCACATTCCAGGGGTTGCATGCCCTCCATTTCTTCTACACTGGCCTTCACTGGTCCTCCGGGCCTCCCTCTACCTGGGACAGGGTGGCATGTGCCACTCTCATGACCACCCTGCCAAGTTAGAGTAAACTGGGATCCTGTCACAGAAAAAAAAAAAAAGAAAAGAAAAAAAGGACAACTGGGCATGTTTTGGTACTAGATCTATTGTCAAGATATCCTAGAAGCTTGAATGGTGCACAATCTGTATTCCCATAGTGCACCATTTCTGGGAATTTCATGTTGCTTTCTGGATAGTTTCAACCAGAAGATCAAGGTATACCTCTCTTGGTTCAATGGCACTATCCTTTTAGTTCTATTAAGATTATTTCTTTTTCTTTTCTATTTCTTTCTTTCTTTTTTTTTTTTTTTTTTTTTAAATCTTATGGCCTCTCTTCCTGTTCCTGCTCGTTAACTATGGGTTCTCCCCAAGATTCTTTATTCTTTTCCTTTTCCCATCATACTTAAACCCCTCAAGAAGTTTTCCACTTTCTAGTCTTAGTAACTAGACTTTAGCTTTTAAGTTGATGAGTTGAAATTTTCATCTTATCCAAATTCTAGTCTTTTGATTTTTGTCTAAAACATCTGCACTTAATTTTTAGTTCCCCTCTAATCCCCCTCCCCACCCCAACAGCCAAAAAATAACAAACTGATTTTCCTTTCCAACTTTCCCTTTTGACAGCAGGTACTGTTGTCAAAAGGGAAAGGCTCTAGCTATGGTACTAGGTACTGGGATCTAGATGTGGACTCCTTTTTCTCCTGCTCTTTCACCTCATATGTCTAATTCTTAAGCATTTTCTGCTAATTCTTTCTTCTAAGTAGAAATTACTTATAGACTTGACTGTCTTTCATATTTCCATTTTTGCCACCCTACTCCAGGCCCTCACCACTTCAAGCCTTGGGATCACCTTACTAATTTTTAATTGTTCCCATTACTTTCTCCATTTTGATAAATATATATATAGCTACCCTATTAATCTTGAAAATACTCTTGTAATTATTTTCCTACACTGTTTAATTACTTATAATAATAATGTTATTTCTAATGTTTTTTAAATCAAGTGAAAGCGCTTCAGAGATAAAACTCAAGGTCCTTTATCAACATTTATCACTTAACCCACTTACACTTTTTTTCTTACTGCTTCCTCAGTTCATCAGGTCACTTTGCTTATACATATACAGTCGGGCCTCCATAACTGCAGTTTCACATCCATGGATTCAACCAAATATTTGAATATAAAAAATACTCAAATAAAAAAATGACAATACAACAATTAAAAATAATACAGATTTAAAAAACAATTCAGTATAACAACTATATACATCACATTTACATTATACTAGGCATTATAAGTAATCTAAAGATGATTTAAAGTTAATAGGAGGATATATGTAGGTTAAATGCAAATACTATGCTACTTTATATGAGGGACTTGAGCATCCTCAGATTTTGGTATGGGGGCTGGCATGTCCTGAAAACCAGTAGCCCACAGATACTGAGGGATGACTGTATATTGTCTTAGAGTTAATTTTTTTCATTGTTGTTTGCCCCCGCCTAGATTATTATCTATTTACCTTTCCACCAATAAAGAAGTTTTCTTTTTTGATTTAGCTTAAACAAAAACCCTGTGTTTGAACACCACTTACCCTATGATTTGGGCAATTAACCTCACTGTGCCTTAGTTTCTTTTCTTTTTTTTTTTTTTTTGTAAAAATGGGAATAATTAATAGTCCCTGCCTTCCAGGGTTGCTGTGATGATTAAATGAGTTCATATATTCAAAATCCTTAAAAGTTTTTGGTATAAATAAGTGCTTAATAAATGTTAGCTATTATCGTTAAATAAAAATCTAGTTTAGAACCTACTTCATTCAAGTTATTCCTCTGATATTAATACTAATTTGCTAGCCTCGGGACCTCAATTTCCATATTCAGTATGTGAAATGATTAGATTATTTCTAACACTTGTTCCATTATACTACTGAGAACAGTGTGAGATAGAAAAACAGTATGAGCTTTGAAGTCAAACTATAAGGTAACAGAAATCATCTTACTATTAAAATCCCTTAATATTTTTCTCTTAAAGGTGAGGTTATTCACCTTCAATACTTTGGGAAGAACTAGAACCAAAATCAGGTCCCTAGTTGTCTGATCCTGATTGATATTTATTATTCTCTTAGCCATTTGATTTTTTTTTATTTACTGATATTAATATAAGATGTAAATAGTGACTGACAGATGTATTTTTTTTTTCCAGCTAAAGCACCAGCCACAAAAAGCTACAAAATAAGATAAATAATTGTCTCCAAATAAAAGAAAACCAAGATCCATGAGTGGGCATCGGTCAACAAGGAAACGATGCGGAGATTCTCACCTGGAGGCCCCTTTGGGCTTCGGGCATATGAGTACTACAGGGTGTATATTAAATAAATTGTTTCAGTTACCTACACCACCATTGTCAAGACACCAGCTAAAGCGGTTAGAAGAACACAGATATCAGAGTGCTGGACGGTCCCTGCTTGAGCCCTTAATGCAAGGGTATTGGGAGTGGCTAGTTGGACGAGTTCCCTCCTGGATTGCTCCAAATCTCATCACCATCATTGGACTGTCAATAAATATCTGTACAACTATTTTATTAGTCTTCTACTGCCCTACAGCTACAGAGCAGGTAAGAGGAATTTCATAACAGCAAATATGAACATTTGTTGTATAGCAGAAACATTGCAACTGGTATTTGGGGATCATTTTAACTAAAGATATGATAGTCTGACAGCTATTTGTCAGCTATTCTAAAATATACTATCACATACACTACTGGTGCTAAAGCTCATAAGTGCAGCCTACTTTGTACACTATTGCTGGTTAGAAACCAGAAGCAAAGGGTAGTCTCTGATCCTACTAAACAAATGTTAGCAGGGATTAACATGTAACATGTTCCTTTTAAAATCACTAAATCTCAATTCTTCACAAAAGAGTTTTATACTGTTTTTAATGGCTGAATAAAGTCTTAGCAGAGTTTAAAATGATCAGAGAGAAAAGTCTCTGGTGTTTGAGATGGCATAACTGTAAACCAGTCTTATCAAAAGTGTTTTCCTCTCCATTCCAGTAAGAATTTTCAATATCCCTTTTCTCTTGTAAACCAGTGTGGCTGATAGACTTCAGGTATATCACTATTTTTCTAACAAGGCGAAGGAAGTGTAAGAAAAAGTCAGTATATTGTATTTCCTGTTCATATCCTGCTCTGGCTGCCTTAAAGGAAAGGAATATGGTATTGCTTTCAAAGACTCTCTACCTAGGCCTTCTCAGATCCAAACTTCTCTCCTTCCATTACCTTCCGTTACCTTCTGTACCTGTTACTTGAAACCAAAGCTAGAACTCTTCATCAGAATGGGTAAATTGATGTTTATTTCTTTGGTTTAAAATTTCCTTGTCAAAAAGTGAACTAAGGTACTTAGGTAGCTGAAGGAATCAGAAACATTTGTTCTGCCTTTATTAATCTAAATGATTAGTCTCAGGTAACCTAAGAAGATAGAAGATGATCCTTAACTAAAGATGTCAGAGTGACTGAACTATATGAAATTATAATGGCCACAATGTTCCTTATCTTGTTTTAAGTTTGAAGTAATACTTTTTTAAAGTAGTCTTTTCAAGAATAGGATGTCTCTCTCCACAAAGCCCAATCCAGAGTGACAGAAGAAGCATCTGCTCTATGATAATAATGGGGGACCTGAACACACCTTTCAGCACTGGACAGATGATCTAGGCAACAGATCAACAAAGTAACCATTACTCTTTCAGAGGGAGAGAAGAAATCTAGGGGTTATCAGTGGTGGGAGGGGGAAGGGGGGTAAGGAGAGATTGGACAAGGGACATAAAGAATAAGTACAATTTGTTATACATACTAGTAATATTGATCAAAAAAAAAGATAATACGGGGGAAAAAAGTAGTCTTTTCAGATGATTCGTCCTTTGAGATGAATTACCACCATCCAACCCTCTATCTTTTTCTGTTTTCATCAATACATTTGTTTCCACATATATCTCTTAAAATGAATGGCTATTGTTCACAGTTACCCATAAAACGTGATTTTTGTCTTCCTTCAGTTGCTCATTTTCCCCCACCCTTGAATACCTTTATTTTAATTCCTCTTTTACTATACAAATACAGTCCATACAGATTGTGTGGATATATTTCTGGATTTCCCTACCTTTCTTAAGTATCTTGCTGTATATCAGTCAGGATACTTAAAAAAACAAAGACCAATACAATTCTTTAAATATGTCCTGGGATTCTTTATCACATATCCTTTGACATGTTTCACCTGGGTCCTTCCTGAGGACCTGACTACTTCCAGAGGAGTTTTGTTTTGCCCACATCTTACATATACTTAGAGATATAGTAGAACAATAGGTGTGTTGATTCCAGTGGGAGCCCTCCAATAGTCCTAAGCTAGTTCTAGGATGAGGATCAGGGAGCGAAAGCAAGTTCAAAGGTAGCTCAGCCACAAGTAGTCATTTGTTGAACACCCTAGAATATACCGGGTACCATGTCCCCCCCATAGTACTTTTCCATAGCCTCTGTTCTTAAGTGATTCAGAATTATTAGAGTAATCTTAGAATTAGTTAAACCTTGGGGAGACTTCCAGCATGAGAACTATTCTGATCATAAGGAACTTTTCAGGATTGCTGCTGGGAAGAATCCAGGTGGAATATGGCTGAGCCACTGTTAGTTGCTCTGCAAGGGAAGGTAATGTCCTCCTATAAAGGGTACGCCTGGATGCATTTGTAGCTGCATGGTAGAAGTCTTTGTTAGGCTTAGATCAGAATGCATTAAGATAGGTCATGGCTATCTTCCATGATAGGATCTGTCATCCCTGTGATGTTCAGTAAGATATGTAAATTCTCAGTCATACTTTATCTTTATAATTCTTATTTTTTAGTATTATGATGATTAGGTAAGATCATGCATTTAGGGTGTCTGGCATATAATGCTCAATGAACGGTAGGTGATTGTTTCATTGGTCAAAAATATTAAGTATATAACCTGTTCTTTTTACCCACAACCCCCCTCCCTTTCCCAATTTCCTCTAATAATACATAATATATGGTGTCACAAGAAGTCAAGAGGTTCATTCTCTAAATTTATTATGCAGTGAAATTCTCACTGACTATAGCTCTAATTCTTTTAGACCTTATACCAGTGGGTGATCACTGTTTCATGTCTACATGAAGAGTATTCTGAACTTCCCATATATTTTTATGTTGCTGATTTTTGGAGTGGCTCAGAGTTTTGTTGTCAGGTTTCTGGTTTTGTTTTTGTTTTTTTGTGGTGGCTGGCCAGTAGGGTATCCAAACCCTTGACCTTGGTGTTGTAACACCTGAATTAACTGGCCATCCCATGGATCAGAGTTTTAGATACCAATCTTTCTATAAGAAAAGGTCACTATTGTAATGGTTTCAGTTGGGTTTGTTTTTTGTTAGAAAAGTCACATTTCCTAGTACATATGAAAGGAAAATGAGTTTGTCCTTATTTTTCAAATTCCTAAGGTAGAGATGTTGACGTCTCTCTTTTTATCTGGGGTACCAAAATATCTCCTTGATCTGTTTGTTACTAAGTATTTAAACTTCATCAGCTAGTAGCTTTGGTTTTAGTATCGTAAATTAATTTGGAATTTGTCTTTCAGCTTGATAGATGTTAATATGCTGAGTTAAGCTCGCCACATCAGACAGAGAGGAAGTCGGAGTTATTTATTTCATACACATGAAAATCCAAACTGAGCTATGCCATTACCAATAAGAGTTCTATCAAATTTAAATATAAATTTAAATTTGGAATATTATCATAAGAGGTTTTTTGTTTAAATGCTCAATTGTTTTTGTTTTTATGTTGCTAGATTTAATGCTTTTGATTTAATTCACTAAAAAATAACATGTTCGATTTTTTTTAGCATAGAAAAATGAAAATGGCACGTTGTCCGTAATCCCACTACCCAGTTATCTTCTATTCAAACAAAGAAATGTATAAAACAAAAAATAAAATCTCTTTTTTACTTGCCTTTTCTTGTCACCCCTTCCAATCCATCTCCTCAAACATAACAGTGTTTAACAATTTTTTGATGCATCCTCCCAGAAAAAACATTTACTCTTGCACCAGCATATGTATATATTTGTATGTATATGAATCCTTCAATTCTGTTTCAGAAGTTCAATAAAACTATATATGTTTCTTAGAATTTTTTGCCTGAGTCGACTCCCATATAAACATCTCTGCAAGATTTTACAAATTGGTTAATTGTCAGATTGTCGTAAGATTATTTGCTTATGTTGGTTCTCTACCCACCTATCAGGGGGTAATGATTTCCTGATTGATATATTAGTTTCTTCATTTATTCAGGGTTTCTCCCAGGCTCTTAACCCAGCTGAGACCATACTTATTCTTGAATTAGAAGGCTTTCTTTTTAAAATACTTCCAAGAATTATGAAATAATGAGAACAAGGAAGAAGTATGTAAATACTAGTTTAGTGTTCTACAGACTCACAGGAAAAAAGGAAAATGCAAAGATAAGAGAGCTTTACTCCTTTTTAGGTATGTAATTACTATTTTGCAGTTTTCTAGGATTGTGTGTATACTAATAGTTGAAATTGTCTCTGTTCCAGAGTAACACTTTGCCGCATTAAAACCTAAGTTTAGACCCCAAGAAGTGCTTAGCTTTAAATCCCCTAAAGTAGAGCTATCCAGTTGAACTTTCTGTGATGATGGATGTGTTCTATATCTTTGTGGTCCAATATGTTAGTCATAGCCACATGTGGCTATTGAGCATTTGAAATGTGCCTGGTGCAACTGAGGAGCTGAATTTTTAATATTACTTTATTTTAATTAAACTAAAATAGTAACACATAGCTCCTGGCTACTGTACAGGACAGCATAACTCTAGAGAGTTAATTGGATTCCTTTAGGAGCAAGAAGTGGTAGACCCAAAGTCCGGAAGGGGGGGTTCTTAGTCACATAGGATTAATTACCCAGTTCAGTAGGCTTGCATGTGAAGTATGGTTACATAACCACAATTATGAGTTCAGGGTTTGTAACTCTAGTTTAGGAAAGGTATGTACTATGGTTCTCTTGATAATCATGACTTCAATGTCTTAAAATGTGGGACTCCAGGAAAATGTTTAAGAGAAGATTCTTACCTTTTAATAGCAGAGTACAGAATAGATCTCTATCAGAGAGAAACCCCTTTGCAGTATAGAATATACTTAATGTTATTTGCAGCTCTGAGTGTTTAATATTAACAGTGTAACTTAGTAACCAATGTCTGAGAAAATACTTCGTGATTATAAAAAAAATTTTTTATGGCCCGGGCATGGGAAAATAATGAAAAATGATACAAAACACTCTGTTCAGTCTTAAAGATAACAAAATAGAAGTTCTCCTTTTAAAAATACACAACATTTAAATTCAATACCAGCAGTTCAATTTGTGTTTGGGAAAAGAGAAACTATTCTTGAAGATGTGACTATAGATATTTGAAAAATAACATTTTGAGTTCTCTGTGCACTTGATCATCAGTTCCGTAGTGTTGTTCTGTGGACCACTGAAGTACATTTAAAAATAAATTACATGCTGAAATAAATTTTGAAAATGTCAGTATATTGTGTCCCCGTATTGAATATTCACAGTGTTCATTAGCAATATTAAGGGCTGGAAGAAGTCCTTTAGTAGAGAAATCTGTTTAACATTGTTTAACCTAGTGTTTCCCTCATGAGGTTAACATGGAATTTTTCTTTTCTAATAATACCTGTAAACATTTTGAAAGATAATACCTGTAAATCTAATAATACCTGTAAACATTTTGAAAGATACAATTTGGGAAAAACTGTACTAGATTATTTATTAATTGACTTTCAGAATCTAAATGGTGGGAGGAATCTTATAGAAGATACCTTGTCTAATTTCTCATGTGATTTCTGTAATGTCCCTGTGAAGTAGTTATCCATCATCTGCTTGGGAACCCCTAAAAGCAGGGAGTTCAATTCTTTTACGATCCCAGTTGTCTCAATAAGTTCGTCATTATGTAGCACTTCGATCTTCTCTTCTGTAGTGTCCAACCAGCAGTACTCCTCTAGAGAATGAAAATAAAATATCTGCAGGTAAAAATATATTAGCCAAACAGAATAACTGGTATGTCTGAATACTCTTGCCTTTCTCATTTTATTTCACAGGCACCTCTGTGGGCATATATTGCTTGTGCATGTGGCCTTTTCGTTTACCAGTCTTTGGATGCTATAGATGGGAAACAGGCAAGAAGAACCAATAGTAGTTCTCCTTTGGGAGAGCTTTTTGATCATGGTTGTGATTCACTATCAACAGGTATTGTTGATTTTTTTTAATGTTAATGATTGTTAACTGATAAAAGCAATGTGATAAACAGTGTTAGAATAAATAAGAGGTTTATTTAGCTATCAGAATAAGTAATTTTGTATTAAATTTTAGTATTTTTCAAAAGACTATATGAATCTGGTTAATATTTGTTCATTATTGGCAGTATTGGAAAATGTAGAAATTAAATTAATTTATACTTAAGTATTTTTAGTCTTGAATATTGTTTTTGGCATCTTTTGTTTTTAAAATCTTAGGGCACAATTGTCATCAAAAATTTCAGAAATTATAGATAAGAGTACAATAGTGGGAGATTAGTTAGGTAATTTGTGGTCTTTAAATGAATATTATGGGGATATTTAAAATTATGTTATAGACTAGGATTATAATATATGTTATAATGGGCTTGGTTAAAAAGACTAGGACGGATGAGTCTGGAAATCTAAGTTACAGCATGAGACTATAGTTAATATTGTATTATATACTGAAAATTTCCTAAGAGAGTAGACTTCAGATGCTATTACCACAGGTGGAAAAAAAATATTAACGATGGAAGGAAGATAATGGATCAGTTAATTTTCTTAACTGTAGTAATCATTTCACTATGTATATGTATATCAAATAGTAAATTGTACACCTTAAATTTGTACAAAAGAAAAAAAAGACTAAGAAAAAATAAATGCTAGCAATAGATGGGTTACTATAGTTAGGTTATAGGTAATATGTCTTTATATGCACTATTTTGCAAGTTTTGAAATTAATGTTTTAGTACGTTTTTAGAGGAAAAAAAGATTTAGAAACTAAATGACAGTTTCTAACTAGTCTTTCTGATAGGAACTTTCCTGCCTTATTTATATTTAGTTTCTCAGTAGTTTTCTTGTCATTTGGCACAGCATTTAAAATATTTAAAAAGAAACAAACAAAACTCCCCAAAAGTTTTACCTCCTGAATCCAGATTTGCAGATTCAGTGTATCCTGACAGCAACTTGCTTAGTAGAGGAGGAAGAGCAACTAAACTCTTACAACTTTTAAAAGTCAAGGGGAGAAAAACTCAGAACTTCCACTAAGTAAAAGCTAGTTGAGTATCTTGAAAGGTTATTATAATTTAACCAGGTGACTGCAGAATGATAGGTATTGTCTTTTTTATTTTATTTACTTAATCGTTTTATTTATTTTTTATTTTATTTTATTTTTGTGTGTGTGGCTGACTGGTATGGGGATCCGAACCCTTGACCTTGGTGTTAATCAGCACCATGCCCTCCCAAGTGAGCTAACCAGCCAGCTCATATTTTTTATTTTAGATGACAGTCATTTTTGCTTTGTGGTTTGAGTTCCAAACTTTTATAAGAAGTCTTTTTCTATGTATGTCACCCACATTGTATCTGCTGAACAAGAGAAGGCAGTTATCAACCTGAAGCAAATAGGTCCCTTTGTGGATTGTGTAGTCCCTTTGTTTTTCTTTCTTTTTGACTTTCTGCCTTGTAACTTTGTGTGTGTGTGTGTGTGTGTGTGACCGGTAACGGGATCGCGACCCTTGGCTTGGTGTCGCCCTCACCGCGCTCAGCCAGCGAGCGCACCTGCCATCCTTATTTATATAGGATCCGAACCCGTGGCGGGAGCGTCGCTGTGCTCCCAAGTGCTGCATTCACCCGAGTGCACCACGGGGCCGGCCCTGCCTTGTAACTTTTTACTGTTCAATAGTACCACTATCTCTAAGTTAGGAGAATACTCTAAAAAGTGCTCAAGTATTTCCTTTAAGAACTTCGGTTCCACTCAATTGTTCAGTGAAAGAAGAGATTGAAAATATGGGGTAAAAGATAATGTAAAAGATTATTTCCTACTTTTCTGGGACCATAGATAGCTGAGAGTAGATTATACATTCACAGCATCTTTTCTTTTTATCTTATCTAAAATCCTTTCAGCTCAGTTAATGTTTGTTATTTGTATTGTTTAGTTTTCATTGTGATCTTTTTTCTGCAGTTTTTGTGGTTCTTGGAACTTGTATTGCAGTACAACTGGGGACAAACCCTGATTGGATGTTTTTTTGTTGTTTTGCTGCAACATTCATGTTCTATTGTGCACACTGGCAAACATATGTTTCTGGAACATTGCGATTTGGAATGTAAGTAACACTTAATGATCATTTTGTTTTCTCATTCAAATATGAAAAATGTTGCTTATAGGTTTTTGAGTATTAGGAATTGATCAAATTGCTAAATTAGTTTAAGAAATAAAAGAAATTTTAAAATTTTATTATTATAGTTATTCCATAATAGTCTCTGTCACATATCCCTCTGTTTTACCTTTAAAAGAAAATATCAGAACCTCCCTACCAGTAGTTTTAAAGCAAGATGAAAAGCATTACCCCTTCCTCACTCATCTCCATTTGTCTTTCCCATAGACAAATTCACTTTTTTCCCCTACTGTTATTCACCTTAATTCCATGTCTTATTTTGATGTATAAAAACACATTTTCAGGAAAGATAAGATAGTTTCTGAGAACAAAGAGCAACTCTCATCTCAAAATTTTATAGCTTAATTAGGTTTTAGTATATTCACACTTTTATTTATGGATCTATAAAAATCTAAGCTCTTGATAATTCGGTTGACACGAGCACACAGCATAGATTATTACTGCTAACAAAATGCCTGAGAATTTAAAAACACAAACTTCTTTCAAACTCCAAAATGAATAGTTTCTACCTGGTGATTAGTACTTTTCCATAAATATTAGTGAGTAAACCAGTCTCAGAACAAGGTTAAGGATGGCAATCACTAACTGGTGTTTCATTAAATATCACAGATCCAAGTTACACCACTTAAGTTTTTCTTTTTTCATGGCATAGCAGCATTCAAAGAGAAAAAAATTGAGAAGATTATATACCTTATGAAATGTCAAAGTAAAAATTTCTGAAGGCCAATGACAGGAGAACATCTTAACCTAGTGTGTAAGATGAATCATTAATGGATTTTTTAAAAAAATTTAGATCTTTAGTATACTTAGTTTTCAAGGCCTTGAAAAAGCCAGGATACATAGAAATTTAACTGTTCAATACAAGTTCATCATATGATTTTTGCTAAATTTATTTAAATAGAATTTAAGATGTTTTTATGACAGTAACTGAATAATTACTAATACTGTTAGCTATTTGATAGACATGTCTCAAAATAAAGGGGGTTAGAGAGAACGTTTAAGGGTCATCTTAAGGTGGTAGGTATTCTTACTACAGATAGTAGCAGACACGAGTGTCCTGTGAAAACTTGTTTGCCTCTTCATTCATTAGCAATCTATAAAGTGATCAATGCTTAGAAAATACCGAAGAGTTCTGATATAAAATAGTAATTGAAAATGTGTACAGTTATTTTTTTCCTCAATATCATTTTCATAGTCTTTTCTTTATTTCAATACTATTTTTACAGTCTTTCTCCACATTAGGCAAGCCCATAAAATATAATAGACTTCTAAGGTCATTTGGTTTGCCCTAACTCAGTTTTAATTTTTAGTGATGCTGTTGTTTTCAAAAATGGCAGAATTTGTTATATCTGGATTTTACATAGTATGTGTTTCATTGGTTATTATCTCACAGTTAACTTTCAAGCCCTTATTTTGAAAGCTTATTTAAACCAGCTTTAATGTATTCTCTTTTCCTTTCAAATAATGCAGTACCAACATTATGGTGTGGGAACTGAAGGAAGAGAGAATTAACCATGGAAGTAGTAGAAGAGTAAATAGATGGTGTTTTTAGGAGTGATTTGATATCACAGCTTTCTGTCTTCCAGTCTTAGAATGTCTCTCATGGTGTTTCCCTATGATGAAGTATGTATTGGAGAACTGCAAGCAGGTCCATGTAGTTGGATTATAAGATGCCTGTAGGGCAGTAGCTGGAGATAAGGCTGGAGAATATCCAGAAAAGCAAGAGCCTTCTGTGCTCTGCCAAGAAATGTGGACTTTTATTCTGAATCTGCAGGGAACTTTCACAACTCCAAAAGCAGGGAAATTACAAAAGTACATTTAGAAAGATCAGCCTGGCATCATGGCAGAGGGTAAATTGGAGTAGGCTGTGACAGAAGCAAGGAGACCCTGTAAGAAGCATCAGTGTAATTAATGTGAGGAATGATGAAACCTAAACTAACACAATGGAGTGCTGTTGCAGAGAAAGGGATAGATTAGAGAGAGACTTAAGAGATAGAAACTACAGAGCACAGTGTCTATTTGGATGTGGGGAATGAATGAGAGGGCAGAGATTGGAACTACTCCCAGTTCACTTCCTTGGGTGGTTGGGTGGAAGATGGAGAAAAGGACTACAGGAAGAGGAACCTATTTAAAGGTAGAGTTCTGTCTAGAAAATGTATGTGAGGGACTTTAGACAACCAAGTAGAATGAAAATAGCTGAAAACTTAGAGAGCAAACTTAGAAAGAAGCCCATAAAAGTTATTAAACAGCCAGAGTAGGAGGAGGCATACTGGAATGAAAAGGCAGACGAGGGATGAATTTCAAAGAAAGAACAATGCTAAATGCTGCGAAGACTCAAAATGAGGACGGAAAAGCGTGCATTGAATTTGGCAATATGAACCATTCACAGCAGTTTTTATATAATGGTGGGGACAGAAGCCAGATTGTAGGGGGTAAGAATGGAATAAATAAGTAGACTGCTACTTACTACATATTATATAAGGTTACTTATAAAATGTGTGACTATGATGGAAAGGAGAGAAGCATTGGTTAGAGGAGAGAGAAGCTCAAAAGGAGGGTTTTGTGTTTTTAATGAGAGAAATATGAGCATACAAGGTCACTAAAAGTCCGTTAGAGAAAAGACTAAAGGTAGTGAAGGGAGGGGAGGTGGATAATTTATGGATCACAATAGCTGAAGATGCAGGACCAAAGGAATTCTAGGGTAACAGGCAGAGGAACTAGATAGGAAACTCTGCCACTGAGATTGAAGTGCTTCCCTCTAATGCTATTAAAAAAAAAAAAAAAAAATTGGCAATATTGAGGCCAGTTTCAATTGAACATCTAAATTTAAATTAAATATATTATTACAAGGGATTGGTTTTGATTTGGGAAATTGTATTCAATTTTCAGAAATTCTACATTTGCACTAAAGCAATACTGACTCTATTTTTTAAAATTAAAAGCAGGCTATAACATTCATAGAAATATGCTGTGAGTACTTTATGTTTAAGGAGATATTTATTAAAATACCAGTGCAGTGGAGGCATGTAGAATACATACAGATAAGCCTAAAGAAGTCTTAAAAACACTATTTTAGATTTCATATATATTTCTAAAGAGCATCCAGAATAGACAGGTGTATAATAGGTTAAATATTGAAGTGAAGTTTGTACTATATGCATGGAAAAGAAAGGCGGAATTTTATTTTGCTTAATAAGGAAAGAACATCACTTGCATTTTCTTTTTCTTTCTTAGAGGGAAGTGAAAACAGCCTTAAGTACATTAGGAATCTTATTCTAAGACACTTTTATTTGAATTGTTTTATTTTGATTTTTTATACACGTGAGTGAAACAAATCATGAGAATTTCTTTTTTATGTATAATAAACTCAGGTTGTTTTACTTTTAATAATTTTATAAAATAGAATGGCACATAATTTTTTTTCTCTTTGGTCTCTTTAATGTTACTGTTTTTATTTTTATTCAAAATATTTTAACATTTATTTGTACATATTTGTGGGGTACAGTATGTTGTTTCAGTACATGCATATGCTGCACAATAATTAACTTACGGTAGATAGCATAGTTTTGTACAACGTTGCTGTTTTTAATTGCTCTTAAGTATGCTCATAGTATCTTAAACAAAAATAGGCACAGAATTTTAATTCATCCATAACTAATCTCCATTCAAAGTCTAGCATCGTGAGAAATCAAATATGCTTTGGATACTTCTTACGTGAAATTATGAACTATATCTTCCCACACTTTGATCACAGATAAAAGCTGCCTTGCACAGAGAATATTAGTGCCTGTCACATCTAGACAGACCCCTGTACTCACAGCATTCTTGTATTGAGCAAGTAGATATCTGACAGTACTGTTCATTGGGACCCTTCTAGACCCAGCTTAGCTCTTTAAGATTTTTACTAGCATAGATATGAAAGATAGGGGAGGTATATAGAGTTAGAGGCTAGAACTTCATGGAAGGATTGGGTTGGTGGAAGAAGATAAGTATGAGTTAAAGCTCATTTGTAAACATTTGTAAAATTCTTAAAAATGTTTATGGATTGTACTAAATGGAAGAATTCATATTTTCTCTCTTTATGGCCTAAACCCTCTATATCTAGGTATTGTTAAATACATAACTTGTAGATATATATATAGACTCATAAATTAAATGCTTAGAAACCCTAAACAGTCTTTTTAATAAGAATATATTTGTACAAAACGTGGGTCTTAAACCTTCCACACTATAAAGGCAGAACTCTTATTTAAATTATAATTTCAGGTGGGGAAAAACTTTTAAATTATCTTTTCAAGTGAAAAAAAGGAAGGAAATTATAATGAACCAAAGGCAGGCCGGTATATCTCCAAATTATCTTGTCTGTATATCAGGGCAAGATCTATAATTTTCATGAGCCTCATTTCCTAATTTGTAAAATAAAGATTTTGGACTAGGTCATCTCTAAGATTCTTTCTATTTATAATGTCTGTGAGTCTGTTAATTTTATGGATCTTATTTCTAGTGTACTGATTTGTAATTACAGTAGGCAGAATATTGATCTTTCTTTTTATTACATTTTTCAGTTTATGCTTCTAAGCTTTCATATTTGCATTAACTAAACCCTGCCACCTAATGTTTATTTCTGTATAAGTAAATAGCTTCCCACTTTTCTTTTCTGTAGTTAAATGAAAAAAATTAATAGACTATGTAATTCCACTGGTAGTCTGACAAATCCAGTTCATCTTATCCAAGTAACTTCTAAGGAATAGTAACTTGAAGACCTCCTAGCAATAAGTTAATGTCTAATCCACTTTCTGTGAATTTAGGATTAGGAAACTTTCTATTGAATACCTATATAGGATCTGCTTATCTTTAAATGTTTAAATGTTAATACTTATCACGTGAATTATTAAATACTGGAGATTTTTCTTTTAGTGTCTAGTTTC